ATGCAGACAATGTATATTTTTTAGAAGAATGGGGTATATAATGAATAGGTAAGTTCATATAATATCATACAGTACACGCGGAAGATAACCAGTTTATTACTACATGCTCTGGTTTCGAAGAACAGCGTATGTTGATTTAAGGAATACTTTACAGATGGATTTCCTTATTTTAAAGTGTGAAGCGAACTATTTGAAATTCTGCTGGTAATTCTATTCTAATTTAGCTAATTATGAATTAATAATGGACATGTTGGACAATTGTATTTTTCCAAGTCATTAGAACATTTTTACTTTCTATTCATATAAGTACTAGCATTTTCATTTTCATAAATGAAAATAAGGGGACCCATCTTTAATAGACGTCAATGAGGTTGTTCTAATTTTCAAACAACGTTTTATCTGTAACCAAAAACCAAATTAGATCTAACCAACCAAGGAAGATAAAGAGGCATCACGGGATTTGAACTTCCACCGCGTTCTAAAATTTGCTGCCAATGCTCAGATAACCATGACCTATAAGTTAATATCAGATCTATTTGCTACCTCCTCAGAGCCACATATCCTCAAGTGAAACAAATTGACATTTGAGCAACGCAATTCCTCTCTAAATCTTATAGAAGGAGATATTAGATCAAAGAACAGGGAATATCCACCTTTAAGATGTCGATGATTAACACACCTGGAAAATTTGCTGATGTATTTTTGTAACAGTTCGACGAATGAGAGGTTTATTAGGTTGAATATGAAAGGGTATTGCGACATTATTTTGATGTGCATAGGAGCGTATACAATTTATTTTAGTGTTGGAATGTAGCGATTTGATTGGATTGTATCTTGCAGAGCCCTTAACATAAAGACATTTTGAAAGCCGACTCAATGTTAAATAACATGGTAATCCTGGCCAATCAAAATGGAATAAGGCTACTGATTAGTGGGCTATTTGAAATTTTACACCTATGTGTTACATTTCCGATAAATTCTAAAAAAAGATAAGATGAGAACAACATTTAAAACTGGACTCATAATAATTTTGTCATTGGTTGCATTTTCGTTTAAGTTCATTGAGATGTCTGTTAAAAATAAAAGTTGTTGGATCATAATTGTCTGCTTTGGATGGGTGATGGGTTAAAATCTTAAATGCTTCAAGTAATAGATTGGGTAAGCTTTGTGAAAACAGGTCTATTAGCTTTTAAAACGGAATACTTCATGATTCGATGGACAAATTGTTTAAGCTTGATTAAAGAATTTCCATTAGCTGAGGTGGGAATGCTTTGATATATAAATCTACATAAATGTGCTATCTTGGAATGGGCGGTTTTCATGTCAATTACCTGAATGTTTTGAAAGATAGCTGGGATAAGCTTGATTAAAACACGTCTGCTAGCTACGAAGGGGCAGATAGGAGACCATGATTTGAAAAATGTCTGTTAGCTGAGGATGGAATGTTTTGAGTAAAAGATTTGCTAAGCCTAATTTAAGCATGTCCCATAAGCTCTTGCTGGGGTTGGAATATTTTGATGGATAGATTGGGTAACCCAGATGTAGGAATGATTCGATGGACAAGTTTAGTTAATCCTTGTCCACTAACTGTGGTTGGAATGCTTTGATGAATAGATTGGACGAGCATTATCAAAACATGTCTACTAGCTGTGGTTGGAATGTTTTGATGAATAGATTGGACGAGCTTTATCAAAACATGTCTACTAGCTGTGGTTGGAATGTTTTGATGAATAGATTGGACGAGCTTTATCAAAACATGTCTACTAGCTGTGGTTGGAATGCTTTGGGGAATAGATGGGACGAGCTTTATTAAAACATGTCTACTGGCTGTGGTTGGAATGTTTTGATGAAGAAATTGTTTAAGTATCGTTACAACATGTCTACTAACTGAGATTAGAATGTTTTGAAGGATAGATTGTGTAGGTATCGTTAAAACATGTCCACTAGCTCAGATTGGAATGTTTTGGTGAATAGATGTGTAAGTATCGTTACAACATATCTGCTAGCTGTGGATGTAATGTTTTGGTGAATAGATTGTGTAAGTATCGTTACAACATGTCTGCTAGCTGAGATTGGAATGTTTTGGTGAATATATTGTGTAAGTATCGTTACAACATGTCTGCTAACTGAGATTAGAATGTTTTGGTGAATATATTGTGTAGGTATCGTTACAACATGTCTGCTAACTGAGATTGGAATGTTTTGATGAATAGATTGTGTAAGTATAACATGTCTGCTAGCTGAGATTGGAATGTTTTGATGAATATATTGTGTAGGTATCGTTAAAACATGTCTACTAACTGAGATTAGAATGTTTTGGTGAAAATATTGTGTAAGTATCGTTACAACATGTCTACTAGCTGAGATTGGAATGTTTTGATGAATATATCGTGTAGGTATCGTTAAAACATGTCTACTAACTGAGATTAGAATGTTTTGGTGAATATATTGTGTAGGTATCGTTAAAACATGTCCACTAGCTGAGATTGGAATGTTTTGATGAATAGATGTGTAAGTATCGTTACAACATACCTGCTAGCTGTGGATGTAATGTTTTGGTGAATAGATTGTGTAAGTATCGTTACAACATGTCTGCTAGCTGAGATTGGAATGTTTTGGTGAATATATTGTTTAAGTATCGTTACAACATGTCTGCTAGCTGAGATTGGAATGTTTTGGTGAATATATTGTGTAAGTATCGTTACAACATGTCTGCTAACTGAGATTGGAATGTTTTGGTGAATATATTGTGTAAGTATCGTTACAACATGTCTGCTAGCTGTGGATGGAATGTTTTGGTGAATAGATTGTGTAGGTATCGTTACAACATATCTACTAGCTGAGATTGGAATGTTTTGGTGAAAATATTGTGTAAGTATCGTTACAACATGTCTGCTAGCTGAGATTGGAATGTTTTGGTGAATATATTGTGTAAGTATCGTTACAACATGTCCACTAGCTGAGATTGGAATGTTTTGAAGGATAGATTGTGTAAGTATCGTTAAAACATGTCCACTAGCTGAGAGTGGAATGTTTTGATGAATAGATGTGTAAGTATCGTTACAACATGTCTGCTAACTGAGATTGGAATGTTTTGGTGAATATATTGTGTAAGTATCGTTACAACATGTCTGCTAGCTGTGGATGGAATGTTTTGGTGAATATATTGTGTAAGTATCGTTACAACATGTCTGCTAGCTGTGGATGGAATGTTTTGGTGGATAGATTGTGTAGGTATCGTTACAACATGTCTACTAGCTGAGATTGGAATGTTTTGGTGAATATATTGTGTAAGTATCGTTACAACATGTCTGCTAGCTGAGATTGGAATGTTTTGGTGAATATATTGTGTAAATATCGTTACAACATGTCCAGTAGCTGAGATTGGAATGTTTTGATGGATATATTGTGTAAGTATCGTTAAAACATGTCCACTAGCTGAGAGTGGAATGTTTTGATGAATAGATGTGTAAGTATCGTTACAACATGTCTGCTAACTGAGATTGGAATGTTTTGGTGAATATATTGTGTAAGTATCGTTACAACATGTCTGCTAGCTGTGGATGGAATGTTTTGGTGAATATATTGTGTAAGTATCGTTACAACATGTCCACTAGCTGAGATTGGAATGTTTTGAAGGATAGATTGTGTAAGTATCGTTAAAACATGTCCACTAGCTGAGAGTGGAATGTTTTGATGAATAGATGTGTAAGTATCGTTACAACATGTCTGCTAACTGAGATTGGAATGTTTTGGTGAATATATTGTGTAAGTATCGTTACAACATGTCTGCTAGCTGTGGATGGAATGTTTTGGTGAATAGATTGTGTAGGTATCGTTACAACATGTCTACTAGCTGAGATTGGAATGTTTTGGTGAATATATTGTGTAAGTATCGTTACAACATGTCTGCTAGCTGAGATTGGAATGTTTTGGTGAATATATTGTGTAAATATCGTTACAACATGTCCACTAGCTGAGATTGGAATGTTTTGATGGATATATTGTTTAAGTATCGTTACAACATGTCTGCTAGCTGAGATTGGAATGTTTTGGTGAATATATTGTGTAGGTATCGTTAAAACATGTCTACTAACTGAGATTGGAATGTTTTGAAGGATAGATTGATAAGATTGATCATGTCCACAAGCTGAAGTTGAAATGTTTTGATGAATAGATTGGATAAGCTTGATTAAAATATATATGTACTAGCTGAAGTCGGAATGTTTTGATGGATATATCGATGGGTCGATTAAATAAACCAATAGTGATTTTCTCTTAAAATTGTGTATAAAATTTCGAAAAATACATTTCAATATTATACATTGTAGTCCATATACATAAAGGGTATAGGGAGTGTTGAAAAACGATAATTCTTTTCCTTATGAAATGAAATATAGACCCTAATAAAGACAGTTCAAGGTTATATTAGACCATTATGCTTTGTATGATAATAGGACTTGTGGGTGAAGCAAGGATTTCGTTTGTTTTGAACAACAGCCGACGCTAGATTGACTACCGAAAAAATTGTTTGTGGAATCAGAAATTTAGGAAACATTAACAGCTTAGCAGACTTATGAAATGGTATTTATACATCTTACTGTTATACTTAGACAGTCTGTGTTTTAGTCTATAATGCTTGCAGTTTTATTTCGACCCATATTATAATTAAACTTATATATTACCACTCTTTGTTTTATGGGACAATGTCAATGTGAACCACAATTAGACATTAGCTTCAAAATCTCGAATAATTAAATGCAACACATTTCCTTATTTTCTGGTGCATCCTAGTTGAAATGAAGACATAAGAGAGTATGAAATAATAATACTGTGTAAGAGCGCTAAATAAACAACTGATGTAATTCGGAATTTCCAAGAATGATATTTTTAGCAGAAATCACATGCTTCAGTGCGAACAATACAAAGATTTACTTCTTACATCACTATTTTGTGTTTTAATAATCTCTGGACTTTCGTTGTGTGACCGTCTATTATTATGAGGTGCTTGAGGTACTGTGGATGCATTGTGTGCGACCTCTTAAACTACAGGGATTTAACCACCAGGACTTGACTTGTTTCAAGTCAGTATTGTAAACTACAATTAAATAATATGTTTTTCGCTCAGGCTGCAGTATAATATCAACTCTGATTCATTTGAATTGAACAGTTGATTTGACTATAATAAAAAAAGGTCACTGATTTATCGTTTTATGATGTCTTCAAATGAGTTCAGTATACTTGTAACAGGTTCAAGTAAGTATAAAGTTTTGACTATTTATTTGCCTATATATACTAGTCACTTTGTGGTCGTGTTGCGTCTTGCCGCCTTTTATTATAATTAAAACAGTGACATAAAGACACCTCAACCGTTTAATACAGCAGGTAATATTCTATCAATTGCACATCAATTTTTGTTTCACAGTCGGATATTTTAGAGAGCTGAGAGTGTCGGCCTTATGTATCAAAGGTAAGATATATATAAATTATATTGGTAGACCCTTGTCTACACACAGTAATGATGGCCTCAGTATGATGACAGTTATTAGCCTACTATGACCATTTATGACTTCACTATCGCAAATACTATTTAAACATGACATGATTTGTATTAGTAATACTATATGACATTATCCACATTAGGTTATTTATAACAGGATGTTTTTTGGTGCAGTTATAATCCGCGTGTTCCGTTAACAAACAGCTAATTTACATAATATGTTAACAGGTGTTGTTTTATTTCTTGATCAGAAATAATGTAAAGCTGTAAACCATTCTGGGTTGTTTTCGACATTGACTATGAGTTGAACTTAATAATATACATGTTTTCTGATAGGTCAAAATATTATTAAAATTTTATATAATTTTTGCATCGTCAATGTCTCGAAGACTCAACTAAAAACATGCGCGAATTATTGCCAACAGTAGCTAAATTATGACAGACATAATTAAAACTATATATCGATTTACTTTAATCGTGCGATTAGATAATCATATTTGACCCTATCTTGTACAAATCCGTTGTCAAACCTGTTTCGGGTATGTTTCTTGGTGGCTCGAATCTGTTGATATAAGTTTGATCACAGAACAGCCCCACTTTAAATTTTAGTTTGTATTACAGGGCTAAATTTAACCAACATTTCTTGGAAAATATAGATATTATAGATGGATTACCTACAAATGTTTACATGCATGAGAGATGTAGTCAACTAGATAAATACTTATGTAATTACGAGGAAGTATGGCGAATGGGGGTGTGGTTTTGACACGATGAATCAAACTAAGCAACCGGCAATAATGAGTGAAATACTTCGTCTTCGTCCATTAACATGCAATAAATTGACTAGGGGTTTCAGAATACAGGAGAGCATTATGTTATGTTCCCGGGAGGGGGCCCCCAATATATTTGATCCACTGATATAAGAATCTGGACAGTTCAGAGCTCTCGACAGAAAGGCAGTATACATTATGGCTTAATGTTGTTAACGGACTTTCTGTCTAGGTCTCTGAATTGGTGTATTTGCTAGCGTACAAACCAATCAAATTGATGCATTTACAACCTTATGTGATACAATAAATGTGGCTATTGCAGTCAAGGTATAAGACGAAGTTTGTAATAGCTTGACATTGTGTGGTCGATGACGTTGCACGTAATAATGTTAAAGTGATACTACGTCTTAGGATGAACATACAATTTAGATTCTCAAGAATGGTCAATATGAGTATATATTCATCTGTGAACTTTTTTACCTGGTGTAATAAAGATACAACAGAATCCCTGGAAAATCTGGAAAATTGGAAAATTCATAAAACAAGTAATTATTGAAAAATCTTAATATTAAGTGTTTCTCAATAGTTAATTGCATATTTATGGGTAATTAAGTTTTTTTTTATTTTATTTATCGGATTATATAAGGACCCTGTTATGTTATTTATGACACCAGGTATATCTACTGATGAATATATGCTCTTATTGGCCAAGTTTGAAATTTTTGTATTTTATGTTCATTCTAAGACGTAGTATCCCTTTAATAACGCCCTGGAAGTGATGGGAATAATTGAAATTGAGTTAAAACAACTTATTAAGTAGTTATTAGACGACTTCAAGTGAATCTATATAGAGATTGTACGTCACAAAATGCTAACAAATGTTTTAGATATACAATTCACACCAGGAAGATGATTTAAAATTAAAACGGAAATTGGTGATTATATTTGAAAGTTACTTATCAGAAACAAACTTATTCATTGTTTTGTTTGTTACTCATCCATTTATTATTCACAAAATTGTATAGGATACTGTTATGGCTTGGTATATTTGTCTCAGTGAAGTAAGCCTACTTTTGTTTAGTTACAAGATCAACTTTAAATGGTAATGTTTTATGTTGGATGATTATACTTTAGGTTATTTTTAGAATATGACTAGTTTAACATACTCTATGTCAAGTAACATCTATTTATTCGCCCACTATAATAATATGTATTGTCGTTTTTCTAGTCCGTTCGTCCGGCTCCTGAGTTCTGATATTTCTCTGTACGAATTTTTTATTTTTTGAATTAAACATGGTAGGCCTATGCAAAATGTATATGGTGAGATCCCGAGTTCGATATTCGCGAATTTTCAATGAGCTGTGCATAAGTGTTTATCTTTGACCTAGCCAAAATATGGGTTTCGTCAAACCGCACAGGAGATTTGCAACACCAACCAAAACCAAAGAGACTTCTAAATGGTTTGGGCATTCCGAAAAAAGATAATTTTCAGTTAAAACTTGCAGATAAGTTGAGGCGCGTTTTTTCTAGATTTTGGTCTAAGGTTTCATTACAATTATAGCACCACCTTTCCCAACCTCCTTAACAAATCAACTGCCCCTAAATTGTATTGAAAAGATCCAGTAAGTTGAATATTTTGCATTGTCAAATTTCTAATCATTGTCAAATTAAAGGAGAGTCTGTTATCGGGTTCATAACACAGGTTCATATAAATGATATGAACTCGTAGCAGAAGTTAATAACTATACAAATTTGGTAATGTAACGTACAACCAGAATCACATGATCACGTGACAATATTTGCATACTTCTGGTAAATAATGGCCGCCATTTATCAACGTGATTAAGTTGCGGAACTTTCTCGGTAGGCCGTTTGAGTTTGATCAGCTATAAGAATACCACGAAAGTTATAAGACTGTTCACATTGTCCAGTCCTTTATTCAAATTTTATAGGCAGTGTTTACCAGTGACGTCATAACAAGAAATAACCTCAAGAGACAATGTTTATTACAGTTCTTTCTATTTACATAATGGGATTGGGGAACAGGCTTTCGCCTATATAGTGCCTTCTCCTTGACAATATTTAAAATATACTGAAGGTAGTTCAGAAATTCGGTGTTAAATCCTTATATCCACGAAAATAGGTTACACCACTGTATATTTATACGATTGATGATATAAAAGGGTAACTGTCTTAATCCATATTATAAATAATTCGTTGAGTTCTGTGAATTGGTCCATCAAGAAACTCACTGAGAATAAAATTGACATCACTGTCACCATTATTGCACAAATTATCGCCAGAAGATAGTTATCTCATCGGACGATTAGCTAACGTAAGTCGACGTTGTTTGCATTAATTTAGCACAGTTTCATCTTCTGTTTAAGGGTAATACAATCAGATGTAAAGTTTACCGCACTTTCGTTAATGAGAGTGTACCAAACTAGAACTCTGACGGAAATTGCCGAAGATTGCCGAATGAAAAGTGTACATCTGACACCATAGCTTAACTGTTAAGGATAAATGATCATATCTAACGCCTTATTCAATGGATTTTTTAATTTGGTGGTTGTGATTTTATTACTAGTGTGTAGTGCATTAATAATGATAAGGTTCACTGTTATAGTAATGTTTGTTTATCGAATATTTATTTCGACTGAATAGTTGAGTGTCGTTTTTACATTTTATCCTTTCTCTATTTGAAGATTCATCATACAGTGTGGTAGATAGCAATGACCGCAAATTAGTTATCAATGTAAATGATTGTGACAATGTTCAAATTGGAGACAGCAATACATTGAATTATTCAACATCAAAAGACAGTTTGGCGAGAGAAGACGAAATGCAGTCAGTAAGCAGCTCGGTTTCGTCCGTATTTAGCAATCAAAAACCTGCAAGAGTTTGCAAATCTACAGAGAATATGAGTCTACCTGACCAATTTTTTCAGTCACCAGAAAGTTTCCAGCAAGCCCATGTTGAAAATTCTAGTCTTCCTATGTTTGATAATTCACCTAGGTATTTAGCTACTCGCTCTCAGGGAGCTGATGATAAATGTGAAACTGGAAATGCATCACCTGTACACATTGCGGAACTACCGAAACAATGTAGTTGTAGAACTAATGGTTCGTCTGAAACACTTCCATCCCAAACTACTTCCGATGAGAGAAACTCTTCAATTTTAGCTATGTCATCAGGAAGTATTAGCAATGATTCAAGGATATCAGTTACAAGTATTCCATCGGTCTCAGATTTTGACAATAGTAGTAAATCACTATTGAGGAACTTGTCCGGTTCCAGTATGGTGGGTGAACTGCTACAGTTATCGCCAAATTGTGATGTGAATACCCTAGATTTATTTGAAGAACCCCTAGAATTGGCACCATTTATAGGTCGTCAAAGAGAAAGAGAAACAATTAAACATGCCTTAAACTATAGGGGACGGTTGATACAGATTCAAGGCCCGATGATGGTGGGAAAAAGACGGTTAGCTCAGCAGGTAAGATTTAATGTAAATGACATTATACTGTCCTTCATTTTCGCCTAAAGACATCATCGATTGTCATCGTCACTGTCCACTATTATTTGCGACACATTTCAGAACAAGAAGTAGTATTCTAACCCGACTTAATCTTTAATCAAATAAAAAGGTATGGGTATGTCCCTCGTTTTTAAGGTTTTAAACTGGTATTAAAAAACCAATGAATAGCGATAATGGTAACTAGGGTTCTGAAAAAGTGACGCCTCTATTGTTTTCCTTTTGACTTACAGAACTTGAAACTTATTAGAAAAAAGATTCTTTCTAATTTTCATTTTAAGTCAAGTACAGTTATCGTGTAAGCTAATTATCAATAGATGCTGTGTCGACTTCTATTTGGAAGCAGTCTATCGATTGATAAAATTCTTCTTTCAGGCCATACAAGAACTCATAGCAGAAGATCAGAACAAGCCAAGAATAACACGACATATTCCATGCAAAAACCTCATTTCTTGGACAGAATTCCTGGAAATGTTTTCTCAAAGATGTGATCTGGAAATCAAAGAGTATGTGAAACATTGTGGAGTTTTCTCAAAATTTCGCGAAAAATTCAATAATGAAAGCCTTATCCTACTGTTCTCCAACTGTGAGATATTTTTAAGCAAGAATTTTTCAGAACAGAATGTGTTCGAACAAAGCATTCTTTACCTTCTGGAATGTTGTCCTTCAATACAAATAGTCTTAACAACACAGACAAGTTATAATATGGATAATCGGAGTCAAGATCTTGAAATTAAAAGACTCGATGATGTCGAAAGTTTTACATTATTCCAAAGGTCCATTCGAAACATTGACGCTTTGACATATCAGGATGCTGTCATTGAACGATGTTATGGATTACCGCCCTTGATTTTAGATGCAGCGTCGCTTGTGAAAAAGAATGACAGTATTTTCCCGATAACACCTGAGGATTTAAAACAGTTATTAGATGATGACGTTCGCTGGAAGAGAATACACCGCCAAACTGTTTCTGGCATATCAGATTTCTTCCCTGGGCTTACGGAATACCTTCAGCAAAGAATTGCAGATTTATCAATATTTCGGGCTAGTTTTAGTTTAGAAAGCCTTAAAGACATTCTTCCCCCAGGACGTTTCAATGAAAACATATTATATGATATAAACGAGTTGTATAAGAGTTCAGTGGTAGCGCTTGTCAAGGAACACGAACAAGTCCGACTCAAAGTTGATCCATTTGTAGACGCGATGTTAAAAACTGTTCTTCGTGATCATGTTAAATGTAATGATGTTACTAGGTTAAAATATGTGTCGTTTTTTGGTAAAGTGTTAACCCGTGCTAACTCGGAACTCTTTATATCCTCCCAAGAGACTGTTTATGGTTATTTGCAACCCGATTGGTTAAACTTGGAACAAGTTTTAAAACAAGCAATACATTGCACTGGAGACACTTTTCAAGTTTTCATGCAGGTAGGCTACTAAAATATAGGAACAGCTACATGTTATATCCATACACTGTAAACATCATGATCATACGAAACTACGTATAGTTCTTTCATGTTACTATCTTATTTCCTGGTAAGAACCATACGTAGTTTCGTGTGCATCATGATTGAAAATCAAATTCGCGACCATTACATGCAAAGTCATGATGTGTAATGTATTGACATTGATTTGACCAATACACTGAGTGTCCAGTCAAAGCATCAAGGTAGTTAATAATAATCAACTAACTGAAAATGTGCCTATTGTCATACCACTATTACTAGGCCATGATCAACTGAAACTGTGTTATGGCGACAAAACCAATGACTGATTACCTTCCTGCTATTACTAGGTCATGATCAACTTAAATTATGTCATGATCACAACACGAACTGAATACCTCAATACGATTATAAGGTACTGATCAACTGAATCTGTGTCATGACCACCGCAATTATTGATCACTCCACTACAATTACTAGGTTACTGTTATGACCAGAGCAATTACTGATCACTTTACTACAATTACTAGGGACTGATCAGCTGAAACTGTGTCATGACCTCCGCAATTACTGATCACTTTACTACACTTACTAGGTATTGATCAGCTGAAACTGTGTCATGACCTCCGCAATTACTGATCACTTTACTACAATTACTAGGTACTGATCAGCTGAAACTGTGTCACGACCTCCGCAATTACTGATCACTCTACTACAATTACTATAGGTACTGATTAACTGAAACTGTGTCACGACCTCCGCAATTACTGATCATTCTACTACAATTACTAAAGGTACTGATTAACTGAAACTGTCTCATGACCACCGCAATCACCGAGTAATAATCAACTGAAACTGTGTCATGACCATCACAATTACTGACTACCAAACTAGGCCTAATCATTGTCCATAGAACATTATGTGTATTTACAGGTAGCTATAGATGCTGACGATCTTCTCATTAGGTGTTTTCCATCGGAAGCTTTAAATTTCTATAAAGTTATTGAGTGCTCTGCTACTAAATTCGGTTCTTCGCTAGAATGTGCTACTTTAAGAGCCAAACTTGGTAGAGCTTTAACTGAAATTAAAGGTAATTTTACAGTCATTGCTTATAGATCTAAAGGTCAATTATTTTCGAATTTATATTAAATTTTTCACTCTTGCAATAAAAAATACGGAACGATTTAAACACCTGCTAAAATATATGTCGGGAACTGGAATTTACGATTATGATTTTGTAGTGTTGGAATAACAACAACTCTGGAACATGGCCACTTTCAAGTGTTCAAAGTCTCTTCGAAATTTAAGTGGGCCGATTCTCTTTTCTTATTGATGAAATATAAAGAGACAGTTAAAGGAAATATATTAGTTTGGTCCACTAGTGTATTTATTTCTTTTCTAGAAACTAGTGATAATCTTGATAAAGCTTCACTGTTGTTTGAAAAAGCTGAAGATGTACTCGTTGATTCTGGACCAAGTTGTACTCTTGTTGCCTTCTATAGAGATATGAGCTTCAATAAGTTCAAAAGAAGTCTATATCAAGAATCATTTGAGTAGGTTCTGTTTCATGATACTTCTCGATTCTCAGAATTTAATCAACATTGTTTTTTGGGTGAAATTCCATTTTTCATCGATAAACTGGCGAAATACACGTAAACATGCTCTGTGTCATGATATTCAAATGTTCTGTGTCATATAATATTCAAATGTTCTGGGTCATATAATATTTAAATGTTCTGGGTCATGTTATATTCAGCCAATCGAAAGCTCAATGATTCCCTTACTATATTTGAGGAATTCTGGAATAATTATTGTTTAACGTTTTTAAAAGCCCCATTTAACAGTGTTTTGATTTGTTTGACCCTTTTCGTGGATGACTGTATAACCTACAGTAAAAACTTGCATTGTCTTTTCAGATATTGTCATAAAGCATTAAATACGGCCTCAGAAATGGATATAGATAATAGTGTAACTAATCATATTATATCTATCAGAGCTCGCCTAGCAATTATACTTAATGTTCTTCGTAAGTAGCCTATCACTTTCAGATATCATGTTACGTAATACATGTATAAGGATTTTTTCAATGACTGTTCAACGCATGTATTTCCTATAAAATGTTCAATGTATGTTTATTGAAATGTTCAAAATTGTTCAATGAAATAGTCCAGGTATGTTGTTTAATAAAATGTTCAAGACATATTCTATAAACTGTTCAATAAAGGATTCAGTATTTGTTTTATAAAATGTGCAATGTAATGAAATGTTCTATGTATGATGAGTGAAATATTTAATGTATGTTAAAAGAAATATTTAATGTATGTTAAAAGAAATATTTAATGTATGTATAAGAAATATAGAGTTTAATGAATAGTTCAAAATATGTTCAATATGATGCTCAATACAATATTACATGTATGTTAAATGAAATAATAAATGTGTGTTCAATAATTTGTTGTATTTTCAGGAGATTTTAAGGAAGCTGAGATTTTATTATTTGAAACTCTAGAATTAGCTCACATCCATACACCATATCATCCAGCTATTTATAAAATGTTAAATAGTCTTGGTAATAATTATGAATACTGTAAGTCTTTATAATTCCTATAAATCAAGCACGTGAGATGTAAAGCTTCATTTCATTCAAAAATAAATTCTCAAGTCATTGAAAATATGGTGAAATGAATCGACTTTTACTTTGTAATTTTCGAAAACATGGTGAAGGCAAAGAGTATCTAAGTCCTTGAAGCAATAGCATTGTATATTTGAATTATTTGAATATATCAAGTTGATATATGTTTATGCTTGAATCCATACTCGTTACTTGTGACCTAGGTCAGTGTTTCTATAGGAGAGAGTATCTCTAATAATACCAAGAACCATGTCCAAACAATATTATATCATATTTCAATTATTATGTTATAAATTAAATTGATGACAAAGAAAGAGTAGGATGAAACATAACAGAGAATGTAATGGCTGTCCCGTCAAAGTACAAGACAGGAGAACCTATTTTATTTTCAAATTCCGACTCCTCGTATTATTTTTTTCAGCTGGACAAGATAATGAATTGGCTCTCAAGTATTATAGAGCATCACTTTTTGAAAGACGGAAATTTGAAGCTATGGTGCCAGGCGATCTGGTAGTAGCTTTGAATAATGTTGGCAGACAGTATGCTAAACAGGGCAAATACGGTAAGTACTGGTATATCTTTCGTACAATTGTATGGATTATATACTATTTGCACTATCTTCTTTATTTTAAGAACTATGTTAACAAATTAAGATTAATTTCTTTTACTCTGTATTTTTAGGACTATTTTAACAAAGTAAGATTTATATCTTTTACTCTGTATTTTTAGAACTATGATAACAAATTAAGATTTATATCTATTACTCTGTATTTTTAGAACTATGTTAACAAATTAAGATTTATATCTTTTACTCTGTATTTTTAGAACTATTTTAACAAAGTAAGATTTATATCTTTTACTCTGTATTTTTAGAACTATTTTAACAAAGTAAGATTTATATCTTTTACTCTGTATTTTTAGAACTATTTTAACAAATTAAGATTTATATCTTTTACTCTGTATTTTTAGAACTATTTTAACAAAGTAAGATTTATATCTTTTACTCTGTATTTTTAGAACTATTTTAACAAAGTAAGATTTATATCTTTTACTCTGTATTTTTAGAACTATGATAACAAATTAAGATTTATATCTTTTACTCTGTATTTTAAGAACTAAGTGAAAAAATTATGATTTATATCTTTTACTCTGTATTTTTAGAACTATGATAACAAATTAAGATTTATATCTTTTACTCTGTATTTTTAGAACTATTTTAACAAAGTAAGATTTATATCTTTTACTCTGTATTTTTAGAACTATGATAACAAATTAATATTTATATCTTTTACTCTGTATTTTTAGAACTATGTTAACAAATTAAGATTTATATCTTTTACTCTGTATTTTTAGAACTATGATAACAAATTAAGTATTTTTTGAACTATGTTAAAAAATTAAGATTTATATCTTTTACTCTGCATTTTTAGAACTATGATAACAAATTAAGATTTTTATCTTTTACTCTGTATTTTTAGAACTATGTCAACAAATTAAGATTTATATCTTTTACTCTGTATTTTTAGAACTATGATAACAAATTAAGATTTATATCCTTTACTCTGTATTTTTAGAACTCTGGCAACAAATTAAGATTTATATCTTTTACTCTGTATTTTTAGAACTATGTCAACAAATTAAGATTTATATCTTTTACTCTGTATTTTTAGAACTATGATAACAAATTAAGATTTATATCTTTTACGCTGTATTTTAAGAACTAAGTGAACAAATTATGATTTATATCTTTTACTCTGTATTTTTAGAACTATGATAACAAATTAAGATTTATATCTTTTACTCTGTATTTTTAGAACTATTTTAACAAAGTAAGATTTATATCTTTTACTCTGTATTTTTAGAACTATGATAACAAATTAATATTTATATCTTTTACTCTGTATTTTTAGAACTATGTTAACAAATTAAGATTTATATCTTTTACTCTGTATTTTTTATAACTATGTTAACAAATTAAGATTTATATCTTTTACTCTGCATTTTTAGAACTATGATAACAAATTAAATTTTTTATCTTTTACTCTGTATTTTTAGAACTATGTCAACAAATTACGATTTATATCTTTTACTCTGTATTTATAGAACTATGATAACAAATTAAGATTTATATCTTTTACTCTGTATTTTTAGAACTATGTCAACAAATTAAGATTTATATCTTTTACTCTGTATTTTTAGAACTATGTCAACAAATTAAGATTTATATCTTTTACTCTGTATTTTAAGAATTATGTTTACATTATCAAGATTTATATCTTATACTCTTTATATTTAGAATTATGTTTACATTATCAAGATTTGTATCTTATACTCTTTATATTTAGAATTATGTTTACATTATCAAGATTTATATCTTGTACTCTTTATATTTAGAATTATGTTTACATTATCAAGATTTATATCTTGTACTCTTTATATTTAGAATTATGTTTACATTATCAAGATTTATATCTTGTACTCTTTATATTTAGAATTATGTTTACATTATCAAGATTTATATCTTATACTCTTTATATTTAGAATTATATTTACATTATCAAGATTTTTTAGATTAGCAAGATTTATATCTTATACTCTTTATATTTAGAATTATGTTTACATTAGCAAGATTTATATCTTATACTCTTTATATTTAGAATTATATTTACATTATCAAGATTTTTTACATTAGCAAGATTTATATCTTATACTCTTTATATTTAGAATTATGTTTACATTAGCAAGATTTATATTTTATACTTTTTATATTTAGAATTATATTTACATTATCAAGATTTTTTACATTAGCAAGATTTATATCTTATACTCTTTATATTTAGAATTATGTTTACATTATCAAGATTTATATCTTATACTCTTTATATTTAGAATTATATTTACATTATCAAGATTTTTTACATTAACAAGATTTATATCTTATATTCTTTATATTTAGAATTATGTTTACATTAGCAAGATTTATATCTTATACTCTTTATATTTAGAATTATGTTTACATTATCAAGATTTATATTTTATACTTTTTATATTTAGAATTATATTTACATTATCAAGATTTTTTACATTAACAAGATTTATATCTTATACTCTTTATATTTAGAATTATGTTTACATTAGCAAGATTTATATCTTATACTCTTTATATTTAGAATTATGTTTACATTATCAAGATTTATATCTTATACTCTTTATATTTAGAATTATATTTACATTATCAAGATTTTTTACATTAGCAAGATTTATATCTTATACTCTTTATATTTAGAATTATGTTTACATTATCAAGATTTATATCTTATACTCTTTATATTTAGAATTATATTTACATTATCAAGATTTTTTACATTAGCAAGATTTATATCTTATACTCTTTATATTTAGAATTATGTTTACATTAGCAAGATTTATATCTTAAACTCTTTATATTTAGAATTATGTTTACATTATCAAGATTTTTACATTATCAAGATTTATATCTTATACTCTTAATATAGAATTATGTTTACATTATCAAGATTTATATCTTATACTCTTTATACTTTTAGAACAAGGTGTACAATATTAAGAATTAAAGTCTAGTATGTATTAAAATGGATTCTGAATTTTTTCAGATCAAGGCTTACAGTATCTGAACGAGGCCTATAAAATATGTAGGAAAGTTGAAAAAGAAAATTTCAATGTTGGATTTACGATGTTTAATATGGGTTCTTTTCATTTTGCTATGTAAGTATTCAGTTGCCGATGTTTCTGAGATAAATTTACATTTGTAAACAATATCGCAACTGAAAAGATGGTGAATATGAAGGTTATGGTGTTCAGATTAGTCTTCGGGGCATGTCATATATATACACCATTATGACCATTGAAAACTGCGTGCTATTTTCGAAGGACTCGCTAGAACTACATGGAGGTGCTACTTTTTCCACTTTCTTTGTATATTCTGATCATTCTGTTTGCAGGGGACGCATAGGCCAGGCAGTAGAGCTTTTACAGCAGGCCATACAGAACTATAAACTATGTGCTATAATCGGTGGTGAGAATATCATAGTCCGTCTTACTCTCAGTCATTGTTTTATTGTAAAAGATGACTCTAAGAAAGCTAGAAAATGTCTGCAAGAATGTTTAGATTATAAACAGTATTTTGTGGAAAGGACACATCCGCCCATAGACAATTACTTATTGGTCCTTGGACATCTAATTGTATTTTACCGGGACGACAGGAAACATTTATTGGACTACCTGATTGAGTTCATCGAAGAGGCCAGTCGTTTACTTGACTTAAAATTAAGTACTAGTGATAAGGACAACATCGAAGATATTCACAAACTCACTTGTAATTATCTCGACAATGTTGATACGAGTCGAATTCATGATATCCAAGAACGATTTCGACATAAACTTTTGAACATGTGTATTTTTTGTAATCAGCTTCAAAATTGTGGTTATACGTGTGATGAATTGTGGATCAGGGCTTCCAGAATAGCTGCTACAGAAGTAGGATTTAAAAACCGTTTGTTGAATTCTCCAGCTCTGAATGCAGCAACAAATCGATTAAAAAATAAGGGGCAAAAACAATTGACGAGCGATCTGCACAATGTTGCACCCGGAATGAAAGACTCTAAGCAGTTGAAGGACACTTTGAATCTCACTAGTATACTCAATGGTAACCATGACATTAGAAGAACTTCCAAAGAATTTCAGTTTTGTGGAAATGGTGCTTTTCAGTTTTGTAGAGATAAACTTGTCAGCGGCCCCAATAACAACTATGAACGAGTGGCTACCGAATCGACCTTTCCCCCAGAGTCAGCGCTCAGTAAAGGAAGTTTATCAAAGAAGAGACATGACAACTGCGCAATTGAAGATTTGATATGATTCCTAGCTTTGAAACGTATCCCCAGTTGTATCAGTACGTTATCATTGTGTGCTATCATCCGCATCCTTATTCCATATCACAATACGCGACAAACAAAAGAGCACATTCATAATAATTGTATCTCCATTTAATATATGTCAATGCATTTCAAAAGATTAGTTATTGCAAGTGCAAGATTTCAAGTATATCATGGCATCCCTCTAAGTCCTAAAATTTTCAGTAATTGAAATATATGTATTTACATCGCTCTCTACAACTGTTGTATTAAATGCCAATCATATAATGTTTAGCTTTAATCACAATCCGCCCTGGACAGAATTATTGTGAATTATTATACATAGCGATAATTGAGAGCACATGTTACTGAAAATTCACAGTTATTGTCAACAGTTGTAGATCATCTTCTTTCTGGAAAAATTAAATTTGTCAAGTTTCAATTGAATCAGATGCGAGAAGCGTTGCCATACTTATTGAGAATTGATTTGCATATTAAAAAATCAAACCGTATGTATAGGATTGAAAATACGTGACATCATGAATATTCATTAACTCAGTTCTCAGTGTGTGGTTTGCTTGTGAAAGTGAAAGATGGTAGAAACATATATCCTAATACGTTGAAAGTTTATTATTTTACGAAGGTTATCTTTATATGTTAATTATAATCGACTAATTATACCAGAATTATCCTCTTTGCTCCCTATTTTGTCACTATTGTGATAAAAAGATTACTCTTCAAGCATCAATCGTATTGATGTATATTTAATATTTTCATGGCTTCAATCATTAATATTTAATTATATATTATATTAGGCTTTACTATATATATGTAATTATATATGTTTTTATATTTTTGTCAGTTGCTTTATGAGTGTATATGGAACTATCTCTTTAGTTTTAAAACGTTTATAATTTTGCTTAAGAAGAATCATATAATAATACATCATAATATAATTGTGTGTGCTCTATTGTCCATGTTTCCAGTTTCGAAAACTGATTACCAGTAATTTTATAGGCTCTATTTATATTATGGAATATTATTGACAATTTGTTTTATAAGCCTAATGGCAAACTTTCAGATCTGTATTATTTTGTTTTTATAACTTTCAATCTCACGATTTGTTATACTTTCAGATATGTGGCTATTTCTTTCTATAATGTTCAGTCCTGTGACAATTTGTTTTTATAACTTTCAGTCTCATGACAATTTGTTATTATTTGAGATATGTTGCTATTTCTTTATATAACTTTCAGTCTCATGACAATTTGTTATTATTTGAGATATGTTGCTATTTCTTTTTATAGCTTTCAGTCTCATGACAATTTGTTTTTAGAACTTTCAATCCTGTAGCAATTTGTTGATATAACATTCGGTCCCGTGACCATTTGCTGTAATAACTTTCAGTCCTGTGACAATTTGTTCTGATAACTTTCAGTTCTGCGCAAATTAGTTTTTATAACTATCAGTTCTGTGGCAATTTGTTTATATAACATTCGGTCCCGTGACCATTTGCTGTAATAACTTTCAGTCCTGTGACAATTTGTTCTGATAACTTTCAGTTCTGCGCAAATTAGTTTTTATAACTATCAGTTCTGTGGCAATTTGTTTATATAACATTCAGTCCCGTGACAATTGGCTGTAATAACTTTCAGTCTCATGACAATTTGTTATTATTTGAGATATGTTGCTATTTCTTTATATAACTTTCAGTCTCATGACAATTTGTTATTATTTGAGATATGTTGCTATTTCTTTTTATAACTTTCAGTCTCATGACAATTTGTTATTATTTGAGATATGTTGCTATTTCTTTTTATAACTTTCAGTCTCATGACAATTTGTTATTATTTGAGATATGTTGCTATTTCTTTTTATAACTTTCAGTCTCATGACAATTTGTTTTTAGAACTTTCAATCCTGTAGCAATTTGTTTATATAACATTCGGTCCCGTGACCATTTGCTGTAATAACTTTCAGTCCTGTAACAATTTGTTCTGATAACTTTCAGTCCTGTGCAAATTAGTTTTTATAACTATCAGTTCTGTGGCAATTTGTTTATATAACATTCGGTCCCGTGACCATTTGCTGTAATAACTTTCAGTCCTGTGACAATTTGTTCTAATAACTTTCAGTCCTGTGCAAATTAGTTTTTATAACTTTCAGTTCTGTGGCAATTTGTTTATATAACATTCAGTCCCGTGACCATTTGCTGTAATAACTTTCAGTCCTGTGACAATTTGTTCTTATAATTTTCAGTCCTGCGCCAATGGTTTTTGTAACTTTCAGTCCTGTGCCAATTAGTTTTTGTAACTTTCAGTCCTGTGCCAATTAGTTTTAGTAACTTTCAGTCCTGTGCCAATTAGTTTTTGTAATTTTCAGTCCTGTGCCAATTAGTTTTTGTAATTTTCAGTCCTGTGCCAATTAGTTTTAGTAATTTTCAGTCCTGTGCCAATTAGTTTTTGTAATTTTCAGTCCTGTGCCAATTAGTTTTAGTAATTTTCAGTCCTGTGCCAATTAGTTTTAGTAACTTTCAGTCCTGTGCCAATTAGTTTTTGTAATTTTCAGTCCTGTGCCAATTAGTTTTAGTAATTTTCAGTCCTGTGCCAATTAGTTTTTGTAATTTTCAGTCCTGTGCCAATTAGTTTTTGTAATTTTCAGTCCAGTGACAATTTGCTGTAATAACTTTCAGTCCTTTGACGGTATTTATAATTCCATATGTAAAATTGTAATTTGCCTTTAATCCGCCAATAAATTGTGCGTTTGTCTTTGTTGATTTGATAATTGGACAGGTTTCTGTTCAGCATGTTTTTCAGTTATGCTACTGCAGACTTATATCTCTGACACTTATTTCCATTCACATTTAGTTCTGCTTTAAAGGAATTGTAAAGGGATTTCTAAAGCATTGATGTTTGTTATAGCATCGATTTGCACCATTCCAGTTTTCATTCAGACGTTATTGCATTTCCAATTTAATTCCTTACAGCAGCGTTTGCGATTTTAAGTCCTTAGGAAGTGCAAGAGTGATATCGGTGTTCCCTGATGCATTAAAAAGGGTCTTTACAATCCCTTAAAGGGAAAGGCATTATGGAAATCTGACAATGTTTAATGTTTCTCATATCTGTGGCACCTTGCTCCTTTGCCAGTGCTTTCGAGATTAATACTAATACTAATCAAAAGTTAGTGTAGTAATAAAAGAAACAGTTAGCACTAATTAGTATATTATACTTAAATAAGACATGAAAACATTCTTCATATAAAATTACAATTATTGAATGAAATACAAAAAAAACTGATGGATAAAAACATGTACAATTAGTCATATAAATAACAAAATAATGTAAGTCTAGATCCAACTTCAGCCCACAATTATTTTGTGCTTACCTGCACTTATTTATATGCCAAAGATATAAATGCACATCCTTGAACATAGGGTTGTCTTTTTTGTACTGAAGATCAAAAATAATCTATGTTAAAACAATTTTAACTGTTTATGGTTACATTGAAATTCACATCTGGAAGTGCATGAACATCTTTGTCTTGTTTTACCAGACTTCAATGAATATATTTTCCATATATTTCTAGTTTTGTGAAAGTGCAATCCCTGCTTATTTTCGATGCAAATGCAAAGAGTGCCATATAATTGTAAAACTGAAATATAAATCTAAGTATAAATGGATATGATGACTTCATGGAAAAGTTAATTTTCTCAAAAACAAAACAAATAATTTACAAAATAGTTATGTTGAATTAATGTACATAAAAAAAATGACAAGTTTAAAATCAATTTTAACATTTTGAAAGACAATATTGCATCTCAACATTCTTATATTTTGAATTCGCTTTTAAAACACAGTCAAATATAAACCTTATCTTGCCCCCAACATCAACTTGTCTTTTATTTTAAAGTTGTCATAACTTCTTTTAATAATTCATGGTTCTCAATAATTTTGAAAGACAAATTTAACACCTAATTTCACTAAATAAACTTGTATTTCAAGTTCACAAATCCATTTTTATAGCAAAAAAGGATATAATAGCAAAAAAAAAAAAAGAAAAAAAAATACCAAAATTATTAGAAATTAGCACCAGATATTTTAAAAATAATTTGATATTATAATAAATTCAATGAAATAGAAAAGTTATATTTTAGACACAACAATGTGTTTTATTCAGAGAGTATAAAAAAAGATTATCTTACTACAGTCTTTGCAAATTCCTCGGTAAATCAAAATTTAACTTTGTACTAGTAGTACTAGCTAGAATGACTTGTTGTCCATAAATAATAGTTCAGTAAGTCAACTTTGTGAAGAAACATACATTTCTCCCAAAATTTTCAAAAAAAAAAATTCCTAAGTGATATTTATTGTGGGCTAGTTTTGATATTTTCATCAAAGCATAATCATACCACAATTATTACCAGTACTTTTTTAAAAATGATTTTTCAATTTCTTAGTAGTAAAATTTGATTTACAGATGAAAGTGTGCAGAAGGTAGACAAAATTTCAGTCTGAAATAAGTTCTACTCCTATTATGTTACTTCATTCAAAATACAACCTAAAGATAAAAATGTTATTTCGAGATTCAAGACACATATTTGATTAAAACATTCTATTACTAGGAACACATGGAAGCATTGTATGTACAAGCATAAAAACATCTTTTTTTTGGCAAAAAACACCAGTCAGAGCTAAAATATTTGGTTTCATTATATACTTGTCAAAGGCATAGCAATTTAACTTCATTTATTTACATGTATTCCTTTAGTCAATTTAAACAAGTTACATCGACTAGGTTAGGTTCGGAGGACCACTCAATGTTAAACAAATTTATTGCATTTTGCTTAATTAAGATTTTCAAAATCCTCTCTAAGTCAATCAAATACAGACAAAGCTTGATAATTCAAAAAAAATGATTTGAAATATATGAAAGTGTTGAGCGGATATTAAATATGAAACATTTCATGCATAAATATTGGTCCAGCCTTATACTTTTCAAGTTGATGCTGTGATATTTTGGCTGAATTTGTTGTCTATTTGATTCTAAATAATACATCTTTACTATTGAGACATTGAATACATTAAATATCAAACCACACATTAATCAGCAGTTATACATAGCACATTGGATTATAAATAGTATAAATTAAATCATGTAAGCTGTGGGATACGCCATGATTGAGATCATGATTAATGGGATATACAAGTATTGACTCATCTGATCAATGATTCACAAATCAGATCATTAATACTTCAGTTTACATTTTGATGCAAACTTGGATGCATTCCACAAAATAGTTGTGCATTTCAGGGACACATCCTCTGGTGTTCATGTATCATGTACTTAATGCATCATGAATATCTCTATAGAATGGCATTTTGATTTGATGCATCATGTCTATCTTATATAAATTATAGATGTATTCCATAAAATAATGATTTACATATCAAAGATACATTTGGATTAAATGCATAAAGTACACTATGTACTATTAAAAGAAAAAAACAATCTTTTGATTCAATCATGATACATCACACATGGATACATCCACCTTATAGATACATTAGTTATCATCAATATGATGTGCAATCAATTTACTTATTGGATACTTTATCATTTGTTTAGAATTATGATGATGTGTATTAGTGAAAACCAGTTATCCCAAAGTTTATTGGTGGTATTCGTTAACGGCTTAGTCTCCCATGAATTTCCATGACTCCATTAAATAGACATGAATATCCATGACTCCATTAAATAGACATGAATATCCATGACTACATTAAATAGACATGAATATCTATGACTACATTAAATAGACATGAATTTCCAAGACTCCATTAAATAGACATGAATATCCATAACACCATTAAATGGACTTGAATTTTCTCGACTACATTAAATAAGCATGAATATCCATGACACCATTTAATAGACATGAATATCCATGACACCATTAAATAGATATGAATATCCAGGACACCATTAAATAGACATGAATATCCATGACTCCATTAAATAGACATGAATATCCATGACTCCATTAAATAGACATGAATATCCTTAACACCATTAAATAGACACGACTATCCAGGGCATCATTAAATAGACATGAATATCCAGGACACCATTAAATAGACATGAATGATTTACAGTATAACACTCTCTCTTCCTTTTATACACTTGTTCATAGTTCTACAAATATATAATACAATCATTCAATTTGAAATTCAAACATATTGGAACATCCAAACCCACATTTATGATGCTAAATGTTTATGTGTACTACAATAAGGAATCGTGTCTAATAGATAAAATTCCTCTGAGTCAAGTGCACCTTACTACTGGGCGGTATAATAAGACAGGCTTCAAAGAGTTCAGTGAAGTAGATATTAGCTTATAAAATAATGTGATTTTTAGAAAATGTACGACTCACCATATTAAGTAACTACCAGTTTAAAATTCTAGTGGATTCAGTGACCTTTTTGAGCTTCTTTAGCCGCTAATATAAGTGGAACTAAACTGGCTAATGGTTTAGCTAAACGTAAAAATGGGTGCTGAAAATAAAAGAAATATAAAATGGCAGTGATTAAATATGAACAGGGTGTATTCTGAAGTATTTAAATAATAGTTGTAGTAGAGAGTTGAGTATTAATTTTATTGTGAAAAGATATTTCAAATCAAGCTGTTCAGTAAAAAAAAAGTTCTAATCAAATTGCTAAGTAAGGCACAACTCCATCTTGATTTTTAATTTACCTTCAATAATTCAGAAGCTGAGGCTCTTTTTTCAACATCAACATCTAAACATTTATCTAGAAAGTCCTGGAAGACTGGTGATAATTTCTGTTTTTCTTTTATATCTGGTTTACCATTAGTAGCTATCAAATACAGAGCCTGTAAAATAGCATTTGTAACACAATCATTTCAGCAAATGGAGTTCATAAAACAATGTTTTATTAACATAAATTTAATAACCAAAAACCATTTTTGGAAATTAAAAGAAGTCCAAATGGGAACTTAATAATAAGGATTTCTTAGAAGCTGGTGCATTCTTCTCATTTAAACTTTGTTCATCAGAAATACGACAAACTGCACTCATGATTAGTCTTACAGATTGATAATGCTAGTATACTTAAATTAAATAGTTAATGTATCAGGTTCAGTACTTACTCTTAGTGGATTTTCATTGAGATATGGTGGTTCTCCTTCAATCATTTCTATAGCCATAATACCTAAACTCCATATATCAACTTTAGGACCATATTGTTTCCTAAAAAAAACATATATATATATTATTCAAAAAATGCCAGCTGAAGATTTTTAAAGCTATGCCAGAGGGCTTATATCCAGTCAAACTAGTAAATGTGAGACAGATTTGCTTCCAAAATGAAGTAGTTTCTGAGTTTACTTACCTTGTAACAACCTCAGGTGCCATCCAGTAAGGTGTACCAACCATGGTAGATCTTTTACTTTGTTCAGGTGATAACTGAGCACAGAAACCAAAATCAGCTGCAAACAAGATACATAATTTACACATTGAATCTTTAACAATCATTCTCTAGACAAAGAAAGTCAAGATTAAGAAAAGATATCTGATGGATTGTTATGTTGTTTTTTGAAGGAAGTTTGTATTTGACGGTGTAAAACCAATATTTCATTATCCTAAATCTTTAACTTTTTGCAGTCTGAAGCATGTATCCAGCTTGTAAAATTTCCATTTATAAATAACTAACATGGAATTAGAATTGGAATTCTTTATTTCATATTACATGTATTTGAAGATAGGTCAGATACTGAAGGAAAAATACTAAAAGGGATTACGTGAACTTACTCAATTTAACACTTCCATCCATACCCAATAAAATATTATCACTTTTAATATCTCTATGTATCACTTGATTTTCATGTAAAAACTCTAACGCTTGTAAACACTGAAAAATAACATAGTAAATAGAATTTCCTGATCTTTAGATTTACTATGATATGATGCCATTATCTGGACTTACAGCACAGACTTGATAACACTCTAAACCACACATGGTCTCAGTTTCAAGACTATAAAACTGCAACGGCGTATCCAAATACAGGTAACAAGCTGGTGAAACTTACCTCTCTACAAACAGCTGATATCTGACCTTCATCCATACAAGTTTCTGTTACAACATCAGTTAGTGAACCTCCTGCTAAAAATTCCATCACAACCTACATAATAAAAAAACATACATATCATTAAGAATAACAACAAATGAAATAAATTTATTTGTTTTTAGACTAGCACTTAATTTTGTGTCCATAGCATTATGCTTAGATCAGGGACTTTCTGCAATCCAACATGATCACTGAAAGATGGACAAATAGCTAAGTTAAAACAACAAAGATAGGATCAGGGTTTCTCAAGTAAATAAGCTGATTTGTTACTTTCATTGTTTGGAATTGCTAAAGCTCCACGGTCACTTAGCAAAATCTAGATCCAAGATAAAGTAGAGATTATTTTTTTTGACAATTTGATATATTACTTTACGTACCCATAATTCTTCACCAACTAAATAACTATCTAGATAATTGACAATATTTGGATTTTGATTTTCCCTCATGACTAGAATTTCATTGATGATGAGCTCTTTTTTAGGTTGTTGAGACAGATTCATTGTTTTAATAGCTACTTCTCTACCAGTAGCTACTTCTATAGCAATATATACAGTACCAGATGCTCTGTAATATACAAAATTCAATACATTATTGATCTATATATTCATTCAAAGAGAGATGTTCACATGATTTACAAATTAAAAAAATCTTTAAAAAGTAACACCAAAGCACTTTTTCAAAAATTTAGCAGGGCCAATTATTTTTAAGTACATTAAGTACAACCATCATGTAAAAATTGAAAGATACTGGTAGCTTACCCTTGGCCAATCTTTTCCATTTTTGTGTATTTTCTGTTGGGGTCCCCTATTGTAACAATACTGCGTAATTTCTCCATGATTTCATCATCAGTCATTTTCTTTTTCTTTGGTTTTTCTGTTTTATTATCATGACTTGTATCATGAGGTTTGTCTTCTTCTATAGGTTTAGTATACTGAAATTATCACCATACAATATATAATTATTGAAACTCAGTTTGCTGGTTTCTTTTAGCACCATTTTAAATTCTGGTCTGACATATGTAGTCAAATGGTATTTGTGACAGTCATGTTGATATCAATTTGATTACAAGGATCACAAAGAAATATCAGAGATCAAAGGCTAGAAAACGCCTTGAGTAATTGTGCTCAGCTGATTCACACTAATTGCAACATCACATAAAATCAAGGCAATTTTGAAAAAGTTTTCTACAATTTTTCTGGGATATATGACAAGTGAAAATCAGTCTGGAGTAAGAATTGTTTAAAAAACATAATATTTCTGAATGTCAATTGCATGGTAGTATAGCTTTTTTTAAGTAGAGAGACAGATTTGAAGAAATCTTGCAGTTCTATATCTTCTACAAAGTGAGAAGGGTGAGGTCATTTTATCCCAATGCTGGTCTAATAAGCAATATAACTCACTATAGATTTTGTACGATCTGGTCTAGCTGCAATAGGCGGTGGAGGACTTTCAGCATTTTCTGCATCATTAACATCTCCAGCATTAGCTAAATTCTCTGGTTTAGACTGTAATATAGGACAAATACAATAGTCTTCAAAACCTGCTCAAATATCACATAAAAATACAAGAAAAAAATTTTAATTTTGAATCTTCTACATAGTGACATAGCTGTATAGCAATTTTCATTGTCTGCAATTTGGCAATCTACAACTAGTTAGTTGTATGTTGTAAGCTTATGACCAGGAGCTTATTTTTTCCATTTTGTTTTTCAAATAATACATGTATCAACATTGTTGGATTGTTGACTCATCTTGAGAATTAAATGTTTATCTCTGTGATAGTAATTTGTGCAATGGATTTAAGGTCAAATCATGTCAATGTTTGATACAGACTAAAAGTAGATACATACCGTAGAAGTTAAGATACCAGCAGTAATATTATTATCTGATGTGTTTGATTTTAATGAATTCCCTCCAGCTGATGATACTGAAATATCAAATATCATATTAGTCCATTCTGTAGTAAATATAATATATGACTATATATCATTAGATCACAATTAAGTACCTAACTATTGCTTAAATCATAACCAAATTACATGTTGCAAGTTTGGAGAGATTCAAGAATAGAAATGGAACCATTATCATCACTTACTGAGGGATCTTAGTGTTTATGTATTTATTGCAAATGCGTCTCTCTTCTAAGAAAATCTGATGGTTTGACAAAGAATTTAACAATATGAAGAAGGGGACTATTATTTCTATTATTGCTATGTTTTTAGAGAGAACATGTTAGGGAACATTCCATTTCAATGCTATGGGAAAGAGATATCAGATTTACAGATAGCTGATATTTTTTAATATAATTACTTACTGGAAGATTTAATATTGAGCATATATTTAGATTCTCTCTTGTCTTTAGAATCATAATAATTTAATACATCTAATACAGCTTGAGGATTCTTCTTCTGTTCAGATTTAGTAATGGTTGAATTCTGTAATAACTTGGCCCATGATTCTGGCATTCCCTGAAATTACATATATATACAATTTTACATCAATTAAAGATAACATAAAGATAAATTAGCAACTTTCAGTCTAATTAGTGCCAGTTCATCAAAAATTGTTCTTAACAGGAAATTAAGACTTTAACATCTTTATTTATCAAAATACCCTAAATAAATTGTTTACATTAAAATCAGAAAGACATTAAATTATCTGAAATCAAGAGATTGAAAATATCAACCCACACACATATATCTGAATCAAGACATACAAATATCTGAAATCAAAACATAAAAATATCAACCCACACACATATATCTGAAATCAAGACATAAAAATATCTGAAAAATATCTGAAATTGACACATTAAAATATCTGTAATCAAGACATTAAAATATCTGAATTGATATATTGAATTATTTGAAATTGACGCAATAAAATATCTGAAATTAAAACATTACAAGTTAACATTAGAATTGAAATATTTTTTCTAAGGTTTCTTTCAGTTTTCTAACATCTTTTACAGTATCAATAAGAGAATTCTAAAACAATCCATAATACCTACATCAATATAAAAATCTATATCATCACAAATTAACTTCTGCCGTTTAGCTTTTCTTCTAATAGTTTCACGATCTTTAGAACTGACAAATTTCACAATCAAAATGGAATCTGTGTTAGGGTTATTGGGGTCATCAATTCTTTGAATACTGTCAATTGACAGGAATGCCACATGATGGCTACATAGCTTTAGTTCATAAGTCAAAAAACTTTTTACTGCTTTTTCATAACTTATATTAGCATTGTCTAAAATGTTCATAAATATCAGTTGTTTTTTCATATCTTGATATTTCTGACGAGTCAGTTTATGATGTACTGCCTGATAGTCCACGCTTAATGTTGAAAGTTTCCCACTGACATTGTTCAAAACTTTATCTTGCTTACACAAAACATTGATAACTTTTTCAGTTTTTTTCACATTCTTAGCAACATCGTTACCCAAGTTGATCACATGATCTTGAATATCGTGAACTTGACCTCTTATAGCCTCAATATCATCATATGCTGACTGCATACTGACTTCTAAACTCTTCATACGATTAGTTAGATTATTCACATTATCAATTGTTTCAAATTTAGATGTCACAAAAGAGACTTGATGTATCAATTCCTTGACTAAGTCAAAAAGTTGAGAATTTTCAGTTAATGCTTCATTTTGTAAGAATGGTAAAATAAGTTCTGATGTATTCTTAGTTTGTAGAAACAACTGAGAAGCTATATTTGCCATCTTGGGAGTCACAATAGTTAAATAATAGATAACTATTCAATATATAGCACTTTGAAGTCCATACACAAACAAACAAATTAAAAACTATAGCACTATGAAGTCAACAAATTTAAAATTATAACACTAGTACTAGAGTGGTAGTATGTCCAGTAGCCAGTTTAATCAAACTAACACTAAAGTAAATTTATACATCCATCTCCACTGACATCAACAATTTAAATGCTGTCAATTTTCACTCAATTTATATATCATAGTACAGTCCAGAATAAACTTGGCATCTTTCAATACATCTCTTAACACATCAAAGTATATCACCAAATGACATGGTTTCTAGTTTTAATCAAAGTTGGTGTTAAAATTGATACCATTCAAAACTTAAACTGGCCTCCTAGCAGTATAAAGTTATTAATGGCTATCAAAACATCACCAAGTAATCATAAAGTTTTTGTTTCATTTTAAGTTTTGTCACAACATAATTAACAAGATTTTAATTACAACCATTTTCTTCCTATTATAACTTTCTTTTGGTGTTATCTTAATAATTAACAAGGGGGATTTTTATCTTTAAAACTTATACAATTTGTCTTGTAATTTTTTGATTATCCTGTTTAAAATGACATCATAGTTTAAGTTGACATGAATTTATCCCTGTTTGTTTTTATCCTAAACAATTGTTTAATAGCCAGATTAGGCATTGTCTATATCTGTTGGTAAAAGCAAATTACTTTCAGTAAGTGTTCTGATTGTATTAACAGCAGAGTATAACTGTTTTTATTGGTCATGTTGTCATATTTGACATCATCATTTTTTGTAACAAAAGCACTCTCTTTATTATTATTTCATCCATTCAAAGGTTACGCATTGTTTTCAATTATCATCATTCATCAAAAATAAGCATAACTCCTAAACAACATGAAACAATCAACCAAATAGTAGATCACACTTCTTTGCAATAAGTTAACAAATATCAGAATAAGATTTTATATTTAAATGCAACTAATAATAATCACATAACTGCCTTCCACCATTTTGTTTCTTCCCCTGGTGAAATTAAAACTTTTTTGATGAAACTCTAGATATTTCAGCATGGAATTTGATGTCAAGTCTTATTACTTATTAGGTAACATTATTGTTTTATTTCAGCATTCAATCAAATTGAGTCTTTCGAAAGAATAATAATTACACAGCTTAACACACACAATAATATTCCAACAACAAAAAATCTCATACTATAAATATCATTTTATTAGTTTAAAAATTGAGTTAAAATTTGATAAGTTGAAAGTTGAAATTGTAGTTTAATGGAGTATAGCTCAGTAATAAATCTTAAATAAACTATTATTGACCAGTGATATCAAGTACTCATTTCAATCAGTTTACACCTTTTATCATCTGAGTTTGATTGATTTAATCTACCTCTTTTCACTTTTTATCCCTTGTTCTTTACTGACTAAGTCACTGTAGGTCTACCTGTCCCAAAGGAAGAAGAATTGGAAGGGAAAATGCGAAAATGTTTAATTTAGAGATAGTGCTCAGAATTAATTTCTCTGGAGAAAAGATATATATATATATATGTGTAAAACAATTCTAAATGTCATTTTAAATCCTTTCTACATTAATCAATTAAGTTTACCAATTTTCCTCATGAAACATCCTCAATAGCTGAAATACTTCCATAATGAATGCCTTTAAGACAACAATCAGTGGCAAACATTTAGGGCCAATAATCCATACATATCTGGCAAATTATACAAACATATATGGCATACCCTCTAAAACCACGTTAAAAACATGCTGGCTTATAATTTTTTTGATTGCTATAGCAAGGATACTATTAGGTTTAACAATGTGGTTGGACATAACTTTTTTCTGACAAAAAGATCAAAAGAGGCTGCGTAATAGTTCCAAGTCAAAAATCACAACATTCATTATGGCAGTTGAAATACATGAAAATAAATTTCTTTTTTTATATGACTAAAATTTGCATATATCCTTTCTTATAAGGAGTCAATGTTCTTTTCAAGAAGAGCATTCAATAAGTTTACAGCTCTAGTCCTCATTTTGAACTGTCGAATTCTAGTAACAAATCCATACTGTTTAAAAAAGACTCTCTGTATTATAGGTCTGTTTATATTTTTGAATAAAATTATTAAAATCCTGAAAAAAACTGAATTGTAGTGAAAAAATTGATTAAATAAGAATCTGTTACGTCACTTTCCAAAGTAAATTGTTATTGTACATGTAATACAGTAGTAAAAATAATGCATTGAAATAAAAACTATAGAAGGAAGTGTAAACAATACACAACAGGGGTACTGTTGACAATAAACACTTTTTATAGAAAATACTGGTCTAAATTAACCATATGATAATCATAATAAATACTTGTTACATAGGATATCCTTCATATTACTAATGTTAATGACAAATTCTTTAACTATGTAGTCAACAGACAGAAATGGCTGTGTTTCAAACGCTTACTACATACAAGACAGGAGGTCAATCTAACAATCTAGCCATATCGTGTGCCAAAAATGAGGATTAAGTAGCTCTCAATGCAAAAGGATGCTTAAAATGTTTATGGAACGAAAAGTCTCAAAATTCGATAATCATAAAAATCTGGACCTTGTATAATATTCAGCTACAAATTCAAACTAGTTACTTCAAACACAATTTGTAAACTAATTTAAGTTTCCAAGTTGACTGAACATTTGACAATAAGATAAGTATACATGCCTAATAAAAAAAAAACAACTTACTGTAAATTCTCCAGTATGACAGTCAAATCCAACATGAACCATGTGTTCAAAATTCTTTGGTTCTGAGATGACTGGTTTCTCATTTTCTTTCTGTTTCCCAGTTTTATTTCCTGGAATGTAAAAATTACGATATCAATGTTCTGTATTTAATAAATTTACAGGAAATTCCTCAGATGTAACTTCACAAGCTTAAAATCCACACGAATTTGGGCAGCCATAGGACAAATTTTCAAAGATTTTATTGAATATTTGCATTCTATGACAGAAAGAATGAAAACATTTCTGGAAAACATATCTAGAAGATGTCTAAGTGGAAAAATACTCCATGGTTTTTATTGATACAAGTTGACAATGTGAAAAACACCTCAAAAATCAAAAAATAGTATCTCAGCTTAATTCTTTATTCTGGCAAAATATTTTTCACATTGTATGATTTTTGTCTGTCTTCATTACCCCAATCAGTAGGACACACTACCGGTATTTCATTTTTTAAAGGAACATAAAACTTGGCCAATATGTATCATGACTAAAGAATAGAATCCTGAAATAAGATGCTTCTAAGCAAGTTTCAAAATTTCTTTGTTAAATAAGTTATTACTTAGTTTTATGGACTTATTGGATTATAGTAGGAATTCTGTTGTATAGTTATGGCACCAGGTAAGTAAATAAAAAGACTAATTTTGGCCAAACTGAAAAATTTCAATTGTTTGGTCATCTTAAGAGGTAGTATACCTTTAATTTAACCTCATTTCACTATGCAGAATTGAAACTGTAGATAGCTTGGGGCAATATCATAAAAATCAATTGGTAATAAACATAATATATACAAAATGAATTGAATAAATAACAGATCATAATTACTGATATTACTATTAATAATAGAAATGTCAACTTCATTATAGCATACTGTTTCAATAACCTTTCATATTTAATAGTAAAATTGACAATATTTTTTAAATTTTTCTTTCACTTTTGTGTTTTATAATTCATTTATAATTTCCAGTCTAAAGCACTTTGACCTTTTTTTTCCCCTTGGAAATAAGGTTTATCACTATATAGAGGTAATTAATGACCCTATAGTCAAAAACTTAAAAAGATTTTCTATGCAATTTGACTGATCTGCATACTGCATAGCAAAAATAACAACATTTATGGTCAAAGGCATTAAACATCTTAAAACATATAAAAATCATTGATAACAACACAACCAGAAAGCCAATAAAGCCTAAGTACTTCAAATTCAGTACAGCAAGTTCTGTTACCAAATATTAATCTAGATCCAAACACCATCAAGCAAGTAGGTATAGTAAGTCCATGATACGAAAAGTTTTGAAATCTAATTATGTAAATATTAATTGAACATGTAACACATAAGATTTAAAATGCTTGATGCGTGAAATTATTTGTACATTTTCATAGTTTTAAAAAATCTAAACCTTACCAACAAAACTTCTTCTTTTCAGAGATGATGTTAAATTTTGCCAAGTTCCTGGCATAATCCTAATAATGTTTGAACTTCATTCACTTATAATGTCTTTCTAATTATCCAATATTAAAGAAATTTGATCACCACATAAAGAAATAAACTTCACAATGACTAATTGAAGTTGACATACTTAAAAACAAGTACACACCCCTTTTGTTTTCTACTAATTAGACTTTATGACTGTTATTCATTATTAACTTTCATTTATAAACTAAGCTTATAAACTATGACTGATGCAGTAGAATACTACTGTAGAACACTACAGCCTACAATAACCTACAGTACTGGTAGAAGTTGTTATTGACACTGTGCTGACGGAAATAATTGTCAAGTTAAATTTATATTCGGTATATGAATGTTTCAGTTTCAGGGAGTAATGACAAGAAAAAGTAAGGATTTTTTTCATTCTATCAAAATATCAATTAATTTGAAAGTTTTTCTTACAAAATATGTACATATATCATACACCTTAATATGCATCAAAAACCTTAAAAGACACCTTATCAAAGTGGACGTCTCATCTTATTTCAAGGTTAAGAACAGGGATTATTATATGTTCATGTCTATGTATAGTTTCTATGTTGTTTACCTGGTGACCCAGAATTGTTTTTTTTTAATAACAAAATCAAAATCCAATGGCTGCTTGAATATCAAAAATGGAGTTCAGGAGATTCGAAATGTTCATGAACATACACAAATCTTTTTTAGCTGTTTAGTTTTCAAACTTCCAAAAAAGTACCAAGTGATTTAATGCAGTTCACATCCATTTTAAGTTTAGCAATAAATAATGCATCATTTAAGATCACTTTTCTTCAATTAGCAACAGACTGAGATAGATTTCATAGTTTTTATATTGTCATTGCTAAACATCCTTTTGCTGACCAAAGAATTCTCAAATTTCATATTTCAAACTCTGACTCATAGCAAGAACCAAGTAAATAGGTTATCACATGATATGTTTAATTGAAACAATTGGCTAATTGTAATAATAACTACTGTATATATATAATTCTAATGAAACTAAACACAGTTATTTCCCTGTATAAATACACTGTTCAAACAACATTATGTACCTTAGATACTGAACAAATGTCAAAATGTAAAAGATATTTCTTTTGTACACCATAAAAAGATATGTATAGATTTATTCAATATCTCGATGCAATAAAATGTCACAAGCTTACACATTTTCAAGTCCTTCCTTTATAAGAAGGTAAAGTGTGTAGTCTGTAGTAAGCAGGAACAGAGTTTTCTCCCTTCAAAAAAAAAATAGACAAGAAACCAGGTTGAAAACCTTATTAAGGTTGGAAATGTTTCAGAGACTTAAGTAGAATAAAATTGTTACCTTTTTGATTTTTAAATTTTTTCTTCTCATCTGGTTCTTTTGGAAGTGGCTTATATTCCTGAGAAAGAGATGACTCCCTGAAAGAATGACAAGAAAATAGAAAATAAAAATGTATGAAAATATATATTGTTCAAGTTAGGTCATGTGACTGTATGTGGGCTAGGCTTTATGGTGATTCCCTATGTTCTTTTTTATTCTATACTTATCTTTTAAATTGAAGTGGGGAGAAAGGGAGGAGGGGGGTGGGGGGGGGGGGATAATTGAATATATATAAGTACCGGTATGTCAACCCAAAATTCAGTTTTAAATTTATCCAAAAACCTTAATCCTCAGCATGAAGAATTTATAATGGCAGAAACCATTATAAATGCCTATTCCATAAGTTTACTGTAGCAAAAGATACATAAGATAACATTTTAAAATTTTACCTGGTACTTTCTAGTCTCACTGGGGGAGCTGGTGGTTTTTCATGTCCATCACCTATTCTGTTCTCCATTATAAATAATTATTTGCTGGTCTTATTTCTCAACACTTTAAAAAACCTGTCAAAAAATTATATATTTATCGTTGCAGTAAGCTTTTAACAGTTCAGTTAGTTGGTCACATATCTTAATATCATCCAACAAGTTTCAGACTTATCAGACACAAAAATCAGAATTTCACCATAAGCTATGACATGACAATATTTGACATAAATTATCTAGATTATCTATCGACCTGTAGAAGGATCAGACTAAAGTAAGTTGAGAGAAAATGATGCTCATAGCTTAAGAATGACATTGAGTATCTGTACATAAAAGTAACAACATGGGCAAATATTTTAATTTGAAAATTTGTTTCATACAGTCTTCAAACAGGTATAGGACTTCATATATTTCGTCTATTCCAGCCTCTGATAGATATTTTGACAGGTTTAGACCGGAGTTGAGTCAGCCAAGATGACACTGACTTTATCACAAACGTTCTATTTACCTACAAAACTGCCAGACTGAGACAGTTAGACCTAGACTAATTTTAAAACCTAAGATAGGCTATACCGTATATATATTGTTTATTACAAAAGATAGACAATTCAGTAAAGCCGACATGAGCGTCTGTATTGACTACAAACAATATCTTTTATAACATAAGAGAAGGAAATATAACAAAACTACTCCTTATTGATGACTCATAATTTGTACTGACTGATGATACTGTCAGGTTAAAAATAGGCTTCACCTACTAGTTTTCTTCAACTGAAAAGACAATCCCACAAAACATGCAAACTATCACTTTCTATATTACATTTTTTTTTAATTTCTAGACAGATTTGTAGCCATCAGAATACCTGAGTTGAACCATTCTTCCAATATTGATCAAATTTATTACCAAATATATGTCATATGTCCTATAACGAAAGGAAATTCCTAAAACGAAACAAGCGAAAATCACTGAAGCAAGCAATCGTTTGATCTTTGCCGACAGAGCTGTCATCTTGTTTAGGTCAAGTTATCACCTGAACTGCTGCAAATGTGCCTATCATAATAGATCAATGCTTTATCATAATAATATACTAACCTATTTTAGTTCATTCGATGTTATTCTGACACAGATTTATCCAATAAAGACAATGAAATTGGTGCCGATATTTCGCACCTCTCTAATCGATCAAACATGGAAGCCAAACCTCGCATAATCTCGCAAGTATCTGCGAGGCTTTGCGAGACCTAGTTTATTGTCCGACTCACTCCGCTTGTTAAAACGAGCCCCCTGTTTAAGTTAAATTTGTTTTGATGGGATTCATTGTATATATGTTGTGTTGTCGGTGGGGCGTGGGATTAGCCCACACAGAGCATTTGTTCGTATACAGTCAGTCCAGTCTAGAGTTAGAGCTAGTTTAAAGGAACTCGTTTTCCATATGATATAGGCCTACTTACATTAATGCAATATACGAAGAAATATTGAAACAATTCTGTTATGATATTTCTATATCGCTCTCTCTACAATCGATATATTGAGCACAATTTTATCATGAAAATGTATTGGACTAACTGTCAGTCTAATTAAAATTAGACCAAACCTTCGTCCCGATTTTATTAGCTTTTATTTTTAATATAGCCACTTCAGTTCAGGTTTAAAGACTGGCCTCTTAAACATTCGTCAAAATAATCTTTTGACCTAACCTTGCTTTAACCAATCAAATTTCTGCCATCTCCAGCACTGGCTTTTGTGTTAGAGTGAAGGAATTTGATTGGTTAAAGATTTGTTAAGCGGGATTTATTATTGAACATTTGTATTTGCAGATTAATTTTGTTGGTAGAGTTTGACGTTTTGAATTTGAAGATATGTTGAGCTAGATTTGTATTTGTTGATTTGTATTTGAGGATATTTTTGGCAAGAATCCTATCAATTCAATAATTGTTTATCGAAGAATATTCATTTTCAGTACAAATTATGATTTTTGTACACAAATGTCAATTTTCAATAACAAATGGTGAATTAAGCGTGCGATAATTAAGTCGCAAGCCTCTCATAGAGCGTCTTAGAGGGTTCTCTCAAGAAAATATTTAGACTAAATGGATTGATTTTGTGCATTCTGACAGATATTTTGGAGAAAAAAGGTAGACATTTAGATTTAAAAAAAAATATAGCTTGCCAGGCAAGGTAACATACGCCCAAAGATAGCTTTGATTGTAAGTATTATGAAATTCGATATATTTACCATCTTCATAATGACATTGACTCACAAAATCAAAAGAATCTAAGAATGTAAAGAATTGTAGCTTGTAGAGTGAGCACGAGTTGCACAATATAGCTAATAGAGTAAAATTTCAAGTCAGACAGGATATTTTGGTGAAAAATTATCCGATCATCACAAAAATCGATAGGGATCATCTTCATAACAACATTGACATACAAAATAAAAAATCAAAAGGGATCATCTTCATAATGACATTGACACACCAAATAAAAATCAAAAGAATCTGTAAAAAAGTGTAGCTTATAGAGTGAGCACGAATTGCACAATATAGCCAATAGAGTAAAACGTCAAGTCAGACAGGATATTTCCTTGAAAAATTATCAGATCATCACGAAAATCAATAGGGATCATCTTCATAATGACATTGGCACACAAAATAAAAATCAAAAGAATCTGTAAAGAACTGCAGCCTGTAGAGTGAGCACGAGTTGCACAATATAGCTAATAGAGTAAAATTTCAAGTCAGACAGGATATTTTGGTGAAAAATTATCCGATCATCACAAAAATCGATAGGGATCATCTTCATAACAACATTGACATACAAAATAAAAAATCAAAAGGGATCATCTC